AGAGTTTTTCAGGTCACTTATGTAGACTATCATATTATCTGTACATAGTTAGAGTTTGACTTCTTCCTTTCTGATTTGTTTTCCCTTAATCTCCTTTTGTTGTCTTATTGCTCTAGCTAGAACTTCAAGGACAGTATTGAAGAGGTATGGAGAGAGTGGACAGCCTTGCCTTGTTCCTGATTTTAGTTTCTCTCCATTTTATTTGATATTGGCTGTTGGCTTTCTGTATATTGTTTTTATTTTGTTGATGTATGTTCTTGTTATCCCTGATTTCTCCAAGACCTTTATCATGAAGGGGTGTTGCATTTTGTCAAAGGCTTTTTCGGCATGTATTGAGATGATCATGTAAATTTTTTTCCTCAGTCTGTTTATATGGTGGATTACATTGATGGATTTTCGTATGTTGAACCATCATTGCATCCTTGGGATGAAGCCTACTTGATCGGGATGGATTATTTCTGTGATATGTTCTTGGATTTGATTTGCTAATATTTTATTGAGATTTTTGCATCAATGTTCATGAGGGATATTGATCTGTAGTTCTCTTTCTTAATTGTGTCTTTGTGTGGCTTGGGTATCAAGGTTATTGAAGCCCCATAAAAAGAGTTTGATAATGTCCCTTCTGCTTCTATTGTGTGGCATACTTTGAGGAGAATTGGTATTAGCTGTACTTTGAATTTCTGGTAGAATTCTGCACTAAAGCCATATGGCCCTGTGATTACTTTTGTTTGGGAGACTTCTAATGACTGCTTCAATTTCATTAGAGGTTATAGGTCTATTTAAATTGCTTATCTGTTCTTCATTTAACTTTGGTAAGTGAAATCTGTCCAGAAAATTGTCCATTTCTTTTAGATTTTCAAATTTTGAGAAATATAGGTTTTCAAAGAATGACCTGATGATTCTCTGGATTTCCTCTGTGTCTGTTGTTATGTCCCCCTTTTCATTCCTGATTTTATTAATTTGCATGTTCAGTCTTTGTTGTTTGGTAAGTTTGGATAAAGGTTTGTCTATCTTGTCTATCTTGTTGAAGAACCAACTTTTTTTATAGTGATTCTTTGTATTGTTCTCCTAGTTTCCATTTTATTGATTTCAGCCGTCAATTTGATTATTTCCTGGAGTCTGCTCCTCTGGTGTGTATTGGCTTCTTTGTTTTCTAAAGCTTTCAGTTGTGCTGTTAATTCTCTAGTGTGATTATTCTCCTGTTTCTTCACCGAATTAATGCTATGAACTCTCCTCTTAGCACTGCTTTCAAAGTATCCCATAGGTTTGGGTATGTTGTGTCCGCATTCTCATTGAATTCTAGGAAATCTTTAATTTCTTTTTTTTATTTCTTCCTGGACCCATGAATTGTGCAATTGGGTGTTACTTAATTTCCATGAGTTTGTAGGTTTTCTGTATTTCTTATTGTTGTTGAATTCTAATTTTTAAAGCATGGTGATCTGATAAGACACATGGGGGTTATTTCATTTTCTTTTTGTACTTCTTGAGGTTTGCTATGTTGCCTAGTATGTGGTCAATTTTAGAGAAGGTTCCATGTGGCGCTGAGAAGAAGGTAAATTGTTTTGTATTTGGGTGGAATGTTCTATAG